TCCGGGGATGATGGAAGGAATACGAAACCTTATTTATCTTCGAATAAAAAAGTACAATTAAGAACATTAGTACATTTAATTCGATATACCAAATGATTATCCACATAAATCAATGAATTCAACCGGCCCATTTTATACAGATCAGGAATTATGAATCGCACGGTGTATTCTTGTTTCCAAACGGTCCCATCTTTAAGTTGCCTTTCGAGCATTCCACTCCAGGAGGTCGGAGTATCACTCGCTGATCACAGCTCTCAACTACCCGAAAGTTCTTTTGCGTCAGTTTCTCACTGACTGCGTCATTTGCCCTGCCCTGTCGTGGAAAGTTCACTGGACTTCTACAGAGCGCTTTCGCTGACTGTGTTGATAGGAGAGCGGGTGGCGTCCATAGTCTAGACGAATATCTAGTTTACGCGGCCTCCGTCAGATCTAGAACAGGGACGGGCTTTCCCATATGAGCCTGTTTACTAAGGGTTTTCACTTAAATATCTTTGTACATGTTGCAGTTCATTTTGTTTCATTTTTTAGAGCAGCAGGTCCCGTGGGACAGACTTGTTACGCCACAAACGCACACGCACTGAAGTATTTTATCGATTATTTCAGAAAGAATGCAGATTGTCGTGCGGCAGACTAATTCACGTTAGGTTTCGAGAAACCCATCGTTGGAAGTATAGTTTTACGGCTCTTTTGCCCGAATACCAGTAGATTTCGCTCAAAATTGTCTGCGCCCCAAGTTGACGTCTTATGACTTCATAAATGCTTCTGCCGTCGAATTAAAAATATTATCACACTAAATGAACGCTTGTTTCCCCCTCGTTTATTGTTTAACTAGGTCAAAATACATCCATATGTCCTAGCTTTATAGTCTAGCCGCTTAATCCGTTTTCTTCTTTTCACAGCGACCTATCTCCTAGACATTTTTTATCCTTTCTTGCGTTTTCTGTGCTCTATTTGTATCATTTTGTTGATACATATTGCTGTTTTGCCGTCGACTACAGGGAATTCAACCTTTATGCTAACGTAAGGCCCTGCAAGTCGCTGGTTGGTTACGAGACACCCTACAAGAATGTGGATCTTGTAACAATTCGTGAGAATACAGAGGGCGAATATTCAGGCATCGAGCATGTTGTAAGTACTGAATATCGCGCCTTATCAGGGTTGTTTTTGCAATATATTTTCCCATTCGATGTCTATTTTATTCAGTTACATATCAGTTATAGTATGGACGCGAATTCGGTACGGCTTTCTACCGGATTTTGCAGGACTATGCAGAAAGAAATTGAATTTTTAGAGATCTAAGCCTATTTAGACAATCATAACATGTCCTAGAGGCATTCAATTGGTGCGTCATGACCCTGAACGCATGAACTTTCTCAAATACGCATGCCAATGCGCCTATCTAACGGTCTAACTGTTAACGCTTTCCACCGTTGCAGCTTCTCTTGTCAGTGGTTAATCTGCCTTTTATTTTGCACTTAAGATTGTCGACGGTGTGGTTCAGAGCATAAAACTAATTACCAGAGAGGCCAGTCATCGGGTTGCCGCGTACGCCTTCAAATACGCAGAGGAGAACGGTCGCTCAACCGTGACAGCCGTGCACAAAGCAAACATCATGTAAGCCTTCGGCGGATGTTCGTAATTTATTTATAAAACCATGCTTACTTTTTAGCTTTAAGTAGCGTTTATTCTTAAATCGCAGGCGCATGTCGGACGGTCTTTTTCTGCGTGAGTGTCGAGCTGAGGCTGAAAAACATCGTCATATCAAGTTTCGGGAGATGTTTTTGGACACAGTTTGCTTGAATATGGTCCAGGATCCACTGCAGTTCGATGTTCTCGTGATGCCGAATCTGTACGGAGACATCTTGAGTGATCTGGCTTCCGGTCTCGTCGGTGGACTGGGTGTTACCCCTAGTGGTAACATCGGTGAACACGGAGCCCTATTTGAGTCGGTTAGTTTTGAGCACTTGTCACTACTACAATCTTATGTTTGCATTCTTTTCTTATATATTTATTTCTTATTAATTGATTGCAAATGATACCTACATGTGTCTTTCTCTGGCTTTAATTTCTGCGACATGGTTAGTAACGTAGACAGTCTCGAAAACAACGCACAATGCTCGGTAATAATCAATTCGTGATTTCATTAGTTAATAATTAAATGAATGGTAGAATATAGAATATCTTGGCAGCGGTTGTTAAATTCCAGGTACCAACTCTACCTGATGATACTAAGCAATAATCATTACTCCTAAGCATAGTAAGCCACCTGAGCCACAAATGCCCTACTTCGCGCCATGAATTTAATCACACTTGGTACGATATTACCCGCCAAACTCTACTGCTCGTATAGAATGCACCAATACAGAACAGCAAGCTGACTGCCCAAACAGGATTTCCTAAGCAATCATCTAGAATC